CGGGACGGGCCGGCGAGTCTTGGCGCGCAGCGTTCGACAAACATCTTGAGAGAGCCGCAACTGGGCGCCAGATTGGTTTGGGGTGGCAATTATCAATCGAAGTTTACCGCGTGTACGTCAGCTCCGTTCTGTCATTTGTCGCCCAGCTGGACCCACTGCCTGATCGATTTCGCTTTACGGAGGAGAAGGCGATCCGATGTCTTGTCCCAGGCCCGGACAAGCGGATTGCCCCGAGCTTCGCGCAGTCGCTGAAGTATCTCGGTTTCCCGAGCGAGCTCCGCGACGTGGAGGCCGCCGCCGTTGCCGCCAGAGCTCGGGTAGCACTTCGTGAGGATAGGCAATCGGGCAGGCGCCAGGTCAATGAGAGAGCGCGGAGATTGGCGTCGGCGATGGACGATTTTCGCAATTCGGAACGGGTCTTCGCACGCCGCTCTTGGATACGACGTTGTTCCTCTTCAACTTGGAAGCGGCCGTGCAAGTTGTCCGAAAAGGCTTCGGCCAATAACCCAGCATTGATGGACGTCGCGCACCCGGATCACCGGCTCCAGGGCTGGCAGGCCCAGGCGGCCGCGGCAGTCCATGGTGTTCCAACTCAGGTGCGCCAGGTGTTACGGAAGGGGCAAGGTCGCTGGGCTTCCCCCGTGCTGCCATGGGCACCGCGCAGACTGCTATCTGCACCGTTGCCGCGCGCTCGCCGGACGAGTGGCGCCCAACATGCGGGCTGTTTTCATTTGCGCAGCCGTCTATGGGTGGACAACGGCGAGGAGGTTCGGAAGGTCGGCCCCATGTGCTCTGGGCTGCGGCTGCGGGGGCGATTCGATTGAACACCACGATGTGTAGATGAACTCCCACTAATGGTCCAAGCAGTATCTCAACCTGGACACCCCTGAGCCCACATGGCTCGTATCAACATGTGTGGGGCTCGCCGACCCTGGCGCTGTCTTCGGACCTGCCGCTGGTCTCGACGGGAGAGTCGCCCTGACAGCTATTGCAGTGCACGCGGCGTTTGGCACGCACGCCTCACTTCGCCACGGGGCTCCGCCTGGCGGTGCGTCAGACCTTTTTGTTCCAGGGATTTGTTCGGGAGGCCACCAAGGAGCATGCGGAGTCGCGTAGCTTGGTGCGCCTTGCTTGTAAACGTGGTCGTCAATAGGCCTCCCCCCTTCTCCCTCTGGGCGCTGTCGGGTTTGGCGGCGCGCGGTGCCGTCTAGTTCGTTAGTGTACAAATTGCGTCATGGCTTCTGCCTATCGCACGCCATACGCACGTTCTTTCAACCGTCAGCGGCGCTGTTGGCGCTCGAATTCCCCCACCCCCTCTCCTCCTCCTCCTCCTCCTCCTCCTCCTCCTCCTCCTCCTCGTCCTCGTCCTCCTCCTCGTCCTCCTCCTCCCTCCTACCTCTCGCTCCCCCGTCTTTTTTCTCCTGCCATGGTGAATGTATTGCTTGGCCGCCGAGGCCGTTCAATGCGGGCTTTCCATCAATGCAGGCCAGGGGATGACACGGACAAGGGCTAATTTGCATCCTTCGTCTATTGGTTCTTGTTGGCTCGAAGCTCAAGGCGCTGCAGACAGACCCCCTCTCTTTTGCCACGCCCCCTGGCGTCCTCGGTTTGTGGCGCGCTTTGCTTTTTTCCTCCTCCTCCTCCTGGTCCGCTCACCCAGGCATAAATCGTCACAGGTAATTCGTGTTGTTTGCGTCTGTGTGTCCAGGGGAGGCAGGATTTGCCCGCTCCAGCTGGCGCCTGCAGTGTGCAGCATCGCAAAATATATCGCGACCAGAGCCCCGGACTTCATTTTTCTCCATCATCTTTCGAGGTGGATCGATGCACCAGGGGCCCGTTCCCGAGACTGGGCGAACATGCTTGCTGTTGCAAAAATGCAACGCCAAGATCTGAGGGCATATTACGCGCAGCCAGAGGAGAGCCACCAGCACGCCGCCGCCGCGGGCGCGTCCGCAGGCGCACGCGGCGCGCGGCACCTCTGGCGGCTGCGACGCCTGCGGTCCTGTAGGCACGAGGCGCCGGAGGGCGGCCGCCGCCCCGCGGTCCAGAGGCTTGAAAGGGGGGCCCATGCAACCGGGAGTCGGCCAGAGCGCCGGATTTGGCGGGATCCTGCAGAGCCAGGGTGGCATTGACCCGGGCTGCGCACAGGATGCTGCATGATTTTGCAGGGTCTTGAGAGGCCTGATTGACCCAGGTTTGCATTGTTGGCCTGGGTCAATAGTTCCCCGACGCAGTGTGTTCCGGGCGGCAAGCGCGGGCTTCTCTCGACCGATCGGTGCGATTCGATATCGGGCATTCCCGGCTGCACTTCACAGTGACCTTTCGCCAGAGTGACCTTGGTGCAGGCACACCAGGGTCCCCAGATGGCTGAATGCAACGCGGTAGCAGCGGCTTGCGCGCTCGGGTTTGGCCTCCCCGCGCGCGCCCGCCGACAGCCGCGCACCAAGGTCAGTCCTGCCGGGTGTCACTCTTACGTGTAGCCGCTATCCGAAGATCCGAAAATTGCATAGATATTGAAGGTCGACGGTCCGTGCGGATTTCTTGGGTCTGCGCTGCAGCCCTTTGAGTGGCACGACCGCTGGAACATCGGATTCGAACTGGGCCAGGCTGGCACATACCAGATGTGGGAGAAACACAGATAGGCCTAAACACTAAACATTAATTCTCGACGCTCCGCGCTCATTTCTTGGATCTGCGCTGGAGCCCTCTGGCGGCGCCTCCAGGGCCGCCCCTGGCGCGCTCCAGGCGCCAGGGAGGGGGTCCAGCGCGGATCCACGAAATCCGCGCGAATCGTTGAGAGTGCATGTTCATGCATTTGTTGTTTCTCCGATATCGGGTATGTGTCAGCCGGGTCTGATTCGGTTCCGATATTCCACCGGTCGTGCCATTCAGGGGCCTCGACCCACGGCATCAGCGAGGGCGTTCGCATGGGGTTCCCACCTCCCATTTCGGCGCACCCATCACGCAGATCGTGCCCTGCAGTGAGTTCAGTGCGCCTCTGCGTGCTTGCTCCGCTGCTTCCGTATCCGCACTGCCCCGCGGCCCGTTGTTTATGGAGAGAGGGCCACACCCTGCGCTGCACGCAGCCGCATAAATTTGGCCCCTTCGCCAGGCTATTCTTCAAGACGTCGGTGTCCCTGGACCGCCAGCCCTCCTGGCCAGGTCCCCCCCCGCGTTCAGACTAATTCTTTGACCGTCTCAGCGTGCGCCGCCAGGAGGGCGTGACACTGGTCCAGGGCCCAGGAACACCATCTTTAGAAGTATCCCAATCCCCACTTGGAAAGCCTTGGACCCGCTGTCCGACCCACAGTCAAAACGATGACACATGGACCACTTCGGATTTGGAAGGGACTCGCTCTTCCTCAGGCCCTCACCCAGTTTTTCCTGTAGCGCTCCTCGTGCACTCAGGCGCGCCTGGGGCACCAGAGGGGCTTCGCTCCTTGCTGCGCTGCTGTGATTGCTGCATGGCTGTCCCCCCTCGCAAGTGGGGATAGCCGGCGTCTCTGTCGGGGTTCGCGGCACCCCACACGACGGGCGCTCTCGCCGCGGCTCGCTCGATCGAGGCCGTGACTGCAAGCAGCACGAGCAGCTAGAGGGAAGAGCACGCCCGCGCTGCGCGGTGCCTCGCCGCGCTCGGAACCGCTCGCGTCGCCCTTTCCCCCCGCGCCTCGCCCACCCCGCGGATCGCTGGAGCGGCCGCCGCTCTCCGACGAATGTCGGCCCGCGCGCCGCGCGCGGCCCGGCGGCGGCGGGGCCCCCGTGGCGCTGCCTCCGCGAGGAGGTCCTCGCCGCGCTGCGCCGAGTCCCCCCGCGGCACTGGCGCAACACGGGCCGCGCCAACGTGCGCCCGCTCGGCGCGTCCGCGGTGGACTTCGGGCGTTGCGCAATGGGGGAACGGTGGATGGGAGGGGGGGGGAGGAAGGTGGACCTCTTGCGCCCTCAAGGGGCCCCCTGGGGCCCAACTGGGGCACGAAAGGTGCACGTGTCTTCCTCCCCCCCCCCGGCCCGTCCCCAGACATCCGGCCGAGGACGTGGTCGAGAGACCTCAGGGCCCGGCAAGGACCCCGGAGCCCAAAAGCGATGAGAGACCCCCGTCACGATTTGTTTGTTTTCGAGCCGCCCCAGGCCTGGGCCTAACGCCCCCCACCCCACCCCTGAAGCACCGCGCGAGGACTCGATGACCCTGGGCTTGGTGCGAGCGGTGAGCACCGGAGGGCGGCCGCTGCCGAGCCTGAAGACGGCGCTGTACCCGGGTCTCTGCCGCCTGCTGATGCGGCTGTGGCGCCACGAAGGTTGCCTCAACGGCGCGGCCAGTGTCTGCACCTCGATACATCGGCGGGAGGAAGGATCTGCACGACCGAAATGGGGCAAGGATGAAGGGGTACGAGGGCCGGCAGCAGTTCCGATCCATGTTGAATAAGAGTCGTTGTCGGTGTCGCCGGCGACGTTATCCATTTGATCTGAAACAGTGGGCCGGCTGCCAATAGCGGCCGCTGCTGGTTTTGAACAACATGTGGTGTTGGGCATTGTACCTACTTTTCCCGTATCCGTTTCGGGCGTCCATACAGAGGTACCGATACCGGTGCTCGTCTTGGTGGATCTCATCGCCATGGCTGGTTTCTACTGCAAGTTCTGGTCAGAGCACACCCCGAGAGAGGTCCCGGCGGGGACACCAGCGGTATAGGTTCTTTGTATTCCCCCGAAGCTCGGCGGCGCACACCAGGGGGCCAGCGCCAGGGGTCAACCTCCCGAGCAGGCGGGCCTCTGCGAAGGCACGGGAGCTTCTTGTGAGCCCCTCTGGGTTTCGGAGGAGCCTTCTCGGAAGCCTGCGGGCCCTTCTGAAGAAGCCGCAGGCCTTCTCAGAAGCCGCCTGACAGTCTGGTGGCCACGCCGTGCGGTGAGTCAGTGGGGACCTTGGGTCGCCGCACTGTGTTGGGTCTTGGGTCGTTCTCCGACGACGTCTCGGACGATTAGGGCAGTGTGGTGAGGTCCCTCAGGAGTTCGAGATCACCGTACGGTCTGTCGCCGCCTCGTTTTGGGACCCCCTGGCACAAGTCCCCCGCCTTCGTGGAAGGCCGCCCCCCTCGCGCCCCCACCCCTCGTGCGCGCCGCCGCACAGCTGAACCGCAACTACGCGGCGCGCGACCACGTGGACCGGGGGAACGAGGGCCCGAGCTGGCTGATCGCCCTCGGGGACTGGACGTCTGGGGGCGAGCTGTGGGTCGAGGACTCCTCGGGCGACGAGGAGGTCGGTGGGGGCCGGCCGAAGCTGGAGGGGCGTGGTCTCCCGCGCGCCGCCTCCTCCGCTTCTCCGTTTCCTCCGCGCCTTGCCTTGCGACCCCTGGAGGAGGTATCTGGTCTGTGTTGGCGACGACGGCACGGTGTGTTATCTTTGGCTTTGCGGCGTGGTCGCATGATTACGTAAATGTGCGTGTACATACACATAAATGTAGTGTATGTATACATGTGCAAATATAAATACATTTCGAAGACGCCTACGGCGAGTCACCGCCCCCCCGCCTTCGAGGACACGCCTATGTGACCAAATGTTTGGGCAAAGGTTGGCCACGTTAGTGGACCATGCGTTCCCCCAGTCGTTGCGGAAGCGCTTCGGGGAACACGTGGCGCAAACAACCCACAGGCGGCGCGCGCAAGGCTGCGCGCGAACAAGCAGAAGGACTGCGAAGCGTAACACCAGGACTGCCAGGGGACGGAAAAGGACGACGACGGCCCCGTGAAAAAGGGCCTTGGCGCATCAGGCCATCGGCGCCGCGAAGGCGCGCGAGTCGTCGGCATCCCTGGCATCCCTCCAGCATGCGGGCGCGGCGGCGAAGATCCTGAAGAAAAAGTCTAAGGCCGCCACCGACGAGAAGAACAGCGCGCTGGAGGAGGCAGCCGCGATGAAGGTCCAGGCGATCCGCGCGGGTTGCAGGCCGCTTCGCGAGGGCGATACGAAACGCATGCGCGACGATGCTGTCCGAGCCGCTTGCGGCGGCGAGGACTTGGAGGCGTTCGTGAATGCGCGCATCGACGAGCTGAACAGCTCCTCCAGCGGGATGGCGGAGGATTGCGCGGCCGCAGAGACGGCCTGCGTGGCGGCGTAAAAGGCTGCTGGCATGCGGGGCAGAGAAAATGCGAGCAGCGCGACGGCGCGGTAGCTGTGAGGGGCAGACCGCCGCCGCGCGCTCCCGCTCCTTGGGGAGGAGCCCGCCGCCCGCGAGTGGCCCGCGCCGCTGACAGGCACCGGGCCGCGCCCGCAGCGGGCGGCAGCGAGGCCAGCAGGAGGGTGGGGGGGAGCGACGCGCGCCCTCCCAAAACCAAAAAGACGTCCCGAAAAACATCCCCCATCCTCCCCTCCTCCTCCTCCTCCTCCTCCTCCGCCTCCGCCTCCTCCTCCTCCTCTTTCTCCTCCTCCCCGTCCTCCTCTTCCTCCTCCTCCTCTTCCTTCTCCTCCTCCTCCGCCCCCTCCCCTATTCTCCCCCCCGCCCTCCTCCCCCTTCTCTTCGCCTTCTCGTTTTTGTTGGTCGCCCGCCCCCCTCCTCTTTCTTCTTCTCCTCCTCCTCGTCCTCCTCCTCCTCCTCTTTCTCATCCTCCTCCTTTGCTCTTCTTTCTCCTCCTCTCCTCCTCCCTCCTCCCCCTCTCCGCCTCCGCCTCCTCTTCCTTATCCTTCTCCTCTTCCCCCCCTCCTCCTCCTCCTCCTCCCTCCTCCCTCCTTTTCCTCCTCCCCCTCCTCTCCCTCATCCTCCTCCTCTCCTCCTCCCTCCTCCTCCTCCTCCTCGATTCCTGTTCCTTCGAAGTACTTTGCCCTTGTCGCACCCCGAGGTCAGTTTTTAGGGCGGGGCGGACGTGTCGCCTGAGACTGCCTCACCACTTATGACCCTGAAGCTTATAATTGGCAACAGCTTCGCAGATGGAGGGCGGGTGGTTTTCAATGTGTGGCCCGCGCCTCAGCGCCGCGCACATTCGCTTACACAAAGTGCAAGGTTTTCACGGGTTGAGGGCGACTCGTTTTCAAAATGCGCGCACTTTCGTATTGCAAAATGTCAAGACTTCCACGGATTGACGGCGGTTCTCTTTCAAGCTTTGTTTCTCGACTTGGCGTCGCGCGCATTCGTTTCAAACATGTTTATGGGCTTCGCGGGTTGAGGCGGGTGGTTTTTCAACATCTGGTTTTCGATTTAGCGACGCGTACATTCGTTTCACAAGTTTGCAACAGCTTCACGGATTGAGGGCGGTTCCTTTCCAAAGTGTGGTTCTTGCCCTCGCACTGCGCACATTCGTTTATAACATTTAGAAGAGTTCCAACGATTGTGGTGATCAGCGTATCAGAAATTGTGGTTTTGCAAGATTGAAGATTTGCGGGCGTAACAATTACGTTGGTCCGCGGTGCTGACGTCCGAGGAATGGCGCTTCGGTGCGATTCAGTTCCGTCAAGACGCAACGGTCAGGTTGATCCGTGGCGTTGGAGGTCCGGGGACAATTTTTCGGCATGGTTCAGAATCTTCAAGGGGTTGTCTCCCGACGATGCAGTTCCCTTAGTGGTGATGAGCCGTTGCAGGAGCCTTTTGAAGACGGCGTCCGGAGGGAGGGTTTATTATAATATCGTTGATGACTCCTGGGTTTGCACGGGTTCTCCTCCTCTTCTTCCTCCTCCTCTCCTCCTCCCCGTCCTCCCCCTCCTGCTCCTCCTGCCCCTCACCCCCTCCTCCTTTTCCTCCTCCGATCCTCTGGCTCGAGGTCGCGGTTCCCAGGCAACACGTACGCATTCTGAATGTGAACAGGTACCCTTCGGCCGCGCGGCCGCAACGCCATGGTGGGGCGCCGCTGACGTGATATGTCGTTGTTTCCTGCTATTGGGTGGAATCCCCACTGGGCAGCGGGAGGTCGCCGACAGGAGATCGCGGCACGCGCTATTCACACGCATTTCACCTTCTTCGCAGGAGTTCAGAATGTTTGCAGGGGTCGGCCAAGGTTTTGACCTAGCGTGCATATCAAATACTAGTGGTGGAAGCAGCAGTTCAGCGCGGGTTGTTGCCCGATCGAAGCACCGGAATTTCCACTTTGATGGGTAAGGGTATCAGGGACAAGCGCGTGCACCATGTCCTTGCAAATCCTCATGAGTTCTGGGTCCGTTGTCTTGCTGCTCGTGTTTCGACGCTGGGTTGCTTGAGGTTCGCGTGGGTGTGACATATTTTCTTCCTCGGTTTCGTAGCGAGGGAACGGGGCCAAAATGCACGGGCACGGTGGGCCGTCTCGTTCTATGGTGGCGTTCGCGTTTGGACCGGTTGCCTTCGCGCTGCGTGCCGTTCCTGTTCTTCACAAATTTGAATGACGGTGCCGCGGGATAGGTGGAGAGCGGACGGGCTATGATACGGAGGCGGCGGGACAGACCAGAACAAGGGAGTGGAAAGGGGGAAGGGGGCAGGATACAAAGTGCCACAGCTTCTGGGTGAACCGCATACGCTGGCAGCCAACGCGGCCGGCCTGCTCGAGGCGACTTTCTTCGGCGATGGGCCCTGGGCCCTCCCCCCTCATCGATTTTCTGGTTGTCCCGCAATGCCTGGCCACCAGAGTGCTCAAGCGTCATGATCTTCGCCCCTTCGAAACCAGATTGCAGTTTCAAAAGAGTCGCCCTCCTAGAGACCGCGGGCCTCTGTATTTTGAGCATTTCTAGAATTGAATGCCACGGCCCTCTTGCAGGATCCAAAACGGGGCGCAGGCAGGTCAAGATTCGGGACGGGGTGGGGAGGCGCTTGGAGGGGAAGGAGGAGATCCGGCAACGGGTTCATGACCGGGACTCCCCTGGCGACACGTTTGGGTTGCAGGGCGAGCGCCAGTTGAGCGGAAGATCGGGACAAATCGGAACCAGAGATTCTGGGAGAGTTCCAGAGAAAAATAGAACGCCGATTTGTGGAGTGTAGCGCGCGCATTCGCAGAAGTGCCCAAGGAGTGTTCGAGGGCTTGAGGAGCCCAAGTAACACATGGGCGCTCAATTGAACTGTTGAGGGCGGGCAGAAAATCTGGTGTGCACGAGTATTGTGAGCGGGTGCGCGGCTTGCACGGGGGGCACAGTAGGTTTGCGTTTCAAGAGCTTGGCCGCTGGCCAATGCGCTGATGGGGGGCCGAGAATGCGTTGTACATATTACGCCTGTGGCGCCATGGAGGCCGCATTCGCGGTTACAGTTGGGCGGGCGCCCCGCCGCGCGCGCCGCGGCGACAGCTCTCTTGGGCGCCCGCCCGCCGCCGTGGACGTAGTGGACCTAGCTAGTCTCTCGGTCGGCGCGCGGCGGGTCGGCAGCCACGACGTTGGCGGCCTGAAAATGTTTCGAAAGTGTTTCTCCCCGAGCCCGGGGCCATTGTACTTTTTCGGTGGCACGCGTTGCTCGGAGAAAAATCGCCTTGTCCGTCGGCGGCCAGTTGGCTGTCGTCGCGCAGAAGTACCGGCGGATGGCGCGGTCCACGCTCAGCGCAGAGAGCGTGTCCATGAGCGTGGACTCGTCGATGGGCAGGGGGCGGCCCGCGATGTCCACGGCCCCCACCCTGGGCGCGCGAGGACCTGCTGGGCGCCGCCGCAGCGCGATTTCAGAGAATCTCGGACCAGAAATCCGGGCGCGCCAAATTTCGCGGGCCGAACAACTCTCAGAGAGTTTCAGCCAGCTCCGAGGTTTGGGTTTATGGGAATGTTTCTCGCGGGGTGGCTAGTTCAGAGATCAGAGATTCTCAGAGAAGTTCGGGCGCGAGAATTTGGCGCGCCCCGGTTTCTGGTTCTGTGAATCTCTGAAAAAGCGGTTCCTTAGGTTTTCCCGGGTCTCCAGGCGCCCTACTGTCAGCCAGAGACAGCGACTGGCTGGCGCCGCGCCCGATGCTTCCGGAGTTGCGAACTCGGTCTTCGATTCCCTGGGGCCCGCGGGCCCCTGGGCCACTCGCGAGGTTGCCGAGGCCCCCAGGCGGTTGCATGCGATTGTTTCGGAAATCGGAGTTGGGCATCCATGATGGACGCCCGCGCGCACGCGTTAGGTGTCCGCGAGATAGTTCGGTGGCGGATCTTGCGTGGCGCGGGGACTTTCCAAAGAATTTCCGGGGTGTTCTCTACGGTTATTGCGGCGCGCTTCGGGAACCTTGGGGCGACGCGGTGAAGTCGCCCGGCCGCGCGCGGGCCTTTTTTTCCAATGCCTTCTTGGGCATTGTCGCGGTGCTGCGCGGCTGAAGAGGTCACTGAGCAACGCGCTTTTTGACATTTTCGTGGCGTTTCGTTGCGTTGGTTGCGCGATTGTTTTGGCGGTCCGCCTCCTCGGGGCCCCCTTGGAGCTTCAAGTTTGTTTTGTTGACGTCGGGCCTTCTGGAGTGAAAGGCGCCTGGCGCTGAATTCCCTCGGGCGTGCGCGTGGCCAAATACGCGCGCCGGGGCGCATTTCTTTCCTCGCGAAGCCGATGGCGCCCAAGGCGTGGCAGGCCCGTTCGGCGGCGCCCCCGGCGATTTTTTATATAAAAAAACACGATTTTTATCCCGGTCAAATTTTGCCCCGATCCTGGCTTCATCTTAGACGGCGTTTGGTTATATGCTGGATCTGAATATGTTGTGCGAGGAACCTCGTAAACGGCTTGGGAAACACGCAATCTTTCGGAGGCGCTGGGGCAGGTTCGCCGGGCCGCCCGCTGCCGGTTCTTTGCCGAAAAGCCAAGGTGACGGTCGCGCTGGTTGTCTGACTTCGGTCCACTACTGGTTGGACGTTTGGAATTCGCCTGGTCGAGATGGGGAGGAACGTTTATCGACCGGGGCGCGCGAAAGGGGGGGGCGTGCTGATGCGGGCCTGGGGATTAAGCGCGGCATCGCTCCATGCGACCATAAACAATACGCGGATCCGCGGCGGGAGATATGAAAGGTTTTGTCGACGCGTCAAACAATCGCCCATACTTTGGGCTGCGCCTGAAGGCGACGCCCCAGTGGACTTGCGGCGCCAGTGTTTTCGCCCTTGCAAGAGGATCCAATATCCACGATCTGGCTTCGGAACAGTTCGTGTTCCCCCAGCGCTGCTCGCTTTTTCGAAGTGGTTCGCGATGCCCACGTCAAAGTTCGAACCGCCGGAATGTCGCCGCTGCACTTGGGCCTCAGTCGGGGCCGCGGTCGTCATGAATCGGCCCTGCCTGGGCCCGAGGGGGGGGGCTGTGCGCGCGCTGCCTAATCAACGACCCCTGGGGTTGCGGTTTTCGAATGCATGGAAGACGGGATGAAGCGACCACGGCGTTTCACGCGGCGGGGCGAGTGTTAAATGTGCGAGCGATGCGTTCGGTAGCGCGCCCAGATCAGAGGGCGCCCCAGCTGGCGGCCCCTGACCCCTGACCACGTCGCACGTTGGGCAGGGAACGGCGGCGATGGGGCGGTTGTCTCACTCACTAGTATGGGGGAGGGCTTTGCGGTGACAACGAGAGAGAAAGGAGTAATGGGGGATCCTATCATGGCGGCTGCCTTCTCTGTCGAGCTGGGCCCGGCGCGCGCCCTGACGCGCGCGGCGCGGGGCGGCGCGTCCGCGGGCGCGGGCCTTTGCGAGCGCGCCGACTATTGGAAGCGCTTCGCTCTCGCCCCCGCCAGCGACGCCGCGGGCTTTGTCCTTGCCCGGGGGGGCTTCTCGACGTCATCGAGCAACGCGCTCCGTTTGAATTCTCCCGGTGTTTTCAAGCGTCTTGCGACGCAGTGGGAGATCAGCGGCGCGCGCGCGCCCCCGCTGGACAGAAGAGAAGGTCAATTGAGCGAGCTCGGCTGCAGTCAGCGCGCCTGCGTCAAGCGGCTCAGCGCGTCATGTCTTTGTGCTCCGCGGCAAAAGCGTGGTTTGTCGGTCGATGTCCTCCATCACCTAGGTTTGTTGTCTTGGCCTCTTCCACCTCCTGGTTCGAACCGGGGCGCGCAACCAGAAAAAGGCTTCCTATGGGTCTGAAGCTGTTTGCTGGGAACCTCAGGGATTCAGAAGTCAATGAGATCCTAAGTTTACTCTTTCGAATTTGTTCGTCTCGTTTCGTTTTCGTGAGTCCTGGCGCGTCGTTCAGAGCAGTCTTGATCAGATCTTCGCGCGTTTCCATTGCGATTCGTTTCAGGCTTTCGCGTTCCAGTTTTCCAATGCTTCGTTTTTTCGCGCTTCGCGTTTCTAGTTCCGGTGTTGGTTTCTTGGAGCTCTGCGGGGGACCTATTGTGGCCCGCTGGGGCCCCCTTGGGGGCCTCTGGCTGTCTTGAGGCCATTTTGGGCCGCTTTGGGTTTTTTGTTTGGCCGTTTTGGGTTTTGGTTTGGCCATATCGGCGGCCTTGGTTGCTTGTGTCTGCCGTATAGGAAGTTCGGGGGGGCGGACCTGTCGTTTTGTGCACGAAGTATCGTTGTTTCGGGGGCGCGGGACCATCTTTCCGAAGGGTCGTGGCCTCGGGGGCGCGGCATAAAAACGTCGCGCCCTCGCAGCGGGGGTGTTCTGGAAATTGTTTGGAGAAACTCGTACACGAATCGATCATATCTACCCGACAGCACTTGATATTGGACCGCGCTTCAACGTGCCAAGGGGGGCGGGGGGTGGATCATACCCGCGACACCACGTCCGCCCTGAATACCGCCCGCCTCTTCGCGGACAAAGACAACAGGAAACGCCGCCTTGCAATTTTCTCAGGGTGCCCCAGGGGTCCCGCAATTAGATTTGCAACTGCGCACGAAAGTGCATGCGTAGTCGTCGTGTTGTGCAACATGTTTCCGCGCGCCTCATTGCGACCGGCCCCGCATTTTGCAGAAGGCGAACAGTTTTGGCATGTCCAGACGTGACGCGCACCAGAGGTCGTCGTGCATACCCATCATGTCTTGAAACAATTCAAGGTACAGTCAAACACACATATTAAGGACGATCGGCTTCCCAAGGCTACCCTTGAATTCTCCTCCTGCGGCCCATCTTTGGCCACTTGCGCTGGCCGCGCCCCGTTCGGTAAATGTCGACATGGCCTCCAAGGCCCTTTGCATCCTTATCGCGCATTTTTCCCGTGCGCGTTGACTGCACCTTCGCCGTAACAAACAAACGACCCGAGGATGCCAGGAAACGACGGCGACGATGACGGCGACGAGCGATGCGAGCCTCCACTGGCGGCGCTGCCGGCGACCCGCTCCCGTGGTATGCCACCCCTTGCTAACCTAGAACCCAATCGACGCCAGGGTATCGGACATTCCCGCTGGTGTTCATTTGGCTGCAGACATTTGTCGAGTTCTGAAGCCCAGCCGGTTTTTCATATGTCTGACCTGCAGGGATGGAGTTCATATGTGGTAGCATACGTTCGGGAAACAAAACCTGCATAAACGTAGATTTCGAAGGTCGCGCGGATTTTTCGGATTCGCGTTGGGACCTGGTGACGCTTGTGGCGCCGCATCTGACGCGCTTTTGCGCGACAGGGAGGGGGCCCCAGCGCCGATCCGAGAAGTCCGTGCGGACCGTCGATAGTTGATGTTAATGTAAGCGTCTGTTTCCCGATGCGTGGCCCACAGCGACGATAACGGCGACGCGCGACGTGTTCCTTCACCGGCCGCCTCGAGAGGTCTTCGTTTCGGCCAGCATCCGCGGCCGCCGGCGGTACCGCGCCGGGCACCCGTGCCGCGGGCGCTCTCGGCGTCGTCGTCCCCGGGCGTGCAAGGGCCACAGGACGGGGGGACGTGGTCCGCTTCGGCTACACGTAGCAGTGACCTTTCGCCAGAGTGACCTTGGTTGCGGGCCCAATGGGCCCCCCCGATCGTTGCATGCGATGCGATGGCAGCGATGTGTCGCGTCTTGTGGTGGCCGCGCTCCGCAGGTCCTTTCAGGGGCAACGTGGGGGGGGGAACGTAACACTCGAATTTGCCGGTACCCGTGTTCGCCAGCGTTTTTTGGCGGGCCCGTCCTGAATGTTGGCGGTCCAGTTTTCGCGGGACGTCTGCAGTGGGAGTGTCAAATTCCAGCTTGGGCCTCGTCATTTTCTTGACGGCCCCGCCAGGCGAACCCGAGTCCCCCCAGCCCGACTCGATTGAATAGGCTCGAGGGATGGGGGAGGGGGGCGCATCGAGCCCCACTCGCCGACGGATCACCGATAGGAGCCCTTCGCTATCGGAGCCCTATCGCCGACTTGTCGTCGATGCATTGGCGATTCAAGCTCGATGTTCCCTCCCCCCGTGAGCGAGACCCCTCTATCGTGGCCCCTCACGCGAGGATTCAGAGCAGCCCTTGCTTTGGAGAGGTAACCCTCTGTTCTTTGTTTTTGTGTGGTCGGGGCCTTGTTCTGCGAAGGGGCTCATGTTATTGGCCCTCATTCTTGTGGCCATGTTCCGACTGTACCCTGACGTTTGAAGGTTTGGAGGTTTGAGGCTCGAGGTTGAACAGTTCTTTTCAGTTTTTCTGCCTTTTCTCAGCCTCTGGGGGGCTTCTCGTCGCCACAGCTGGATCCGTTTCGAAATTCTAGTCAGAACGCACCCCAGAACAGAGCCAGTTCCCCCCTTCCCCTGGCCCTCTCGCGTCGTGAGAGAATCATCACGACGGTAGGTTTTCGACAGCTCTCAGCGTTTGGGGTCCCTCTCTGGGCCCCAGGATCGTCAGACAACGTCCCAGAATGAACGGCCAGTTCCCGAGAACAGGTCTGGATCATTTGGAAGCCACGTTGCTCAAGAAACAAGATGTCGCATGTCTGGGTACATCGCCATGAAGCATTCGGGTCCTGACGACACGGGCCCTTGAATTGTTGCGCTGTTTTCAAGCTGTGAGGGCCTTTTCCACGGGCCCCAGGATAGAAACACAAACTACTGAGGACGAGACGCGGTCCCTGGGGAGAGACCCCGGGATTCAGGACCCGTTTCCTTCAGGACCGCTTTGTGTTAGGGAGTGCATCGGGTTCGACATTTCTGTCGAGTCGAGGGGTCGTCGATGCGAGGGTTTCCCCCAAAGGGGTAAGGAACGCAGCCCTCCAGGTGTGGCTGGTCGGTCGCCGCCGTCCTCGTCGGCAACGCCGCAGCTGTCGTCGCTGTCGCCGTCGCTAGTGTCGCCACTGCCGTCGTCGCTGTCGTCGTTTTCGTCGTCGTCGTCGGTCGTCGTCGACGTTGTTGGTCGGAGCTCAAGGACCGAGGTCTTTAGCCTTTTGTTGGCCCTGGTCGCGCACCGTGACATTATGGTCAGAACTTGCTTCCAGAGGCCTGGCGTTCGTAGTCGTCGCCAGAACTGCCGTCAGTGCCCTCATTGTTGTCATCGTCGCTGTCGTCAGCGTCGCCGTGGTCAGCACCGTCGTCCTATTTCCTATTCCTCTCTCCGTATCCACTCTTCTCCGGGAGCTTTTGGGACACTTCAAGCATTCTCTGAGAAACAAGAACCAATCAACAAATGCGAAGCATCTTGTAACATCCAAGACTCTCATAGAACCGTTTTTTCTTCCTCCTTCCCCTCTCACTCTTGTATCATATTGCAGAGGCGCTCGTGGGACGTCCGGGGCAACTTCCTGCAGTTCGACGGGAGGCGGCTCCACTGTACGAGGCCCTTATCACAGCGACGGCGGAGGGAGGAGGAAGGGGAGGGGAGGAGAGGAGGTGAAGGGCGTCGAGGCTTCGCTCGACACTGCCAACAGCTGCAAGGGCTTCAAGAGGGAAGTGCAGGAGAAGGGCAGGGGGGGAGGGGGCAGGAGCTGGAGCAGCAGGGACAGCGGGGGCAGAGGCTGGACGTCGGTGCAAGAGGATGGAGGCGGCACAGGACGAGAAGGAACCACCTGGCCGTTTCGCCATGGTCCGTCAGGGTGCGCGTTGGACGCTTCGTCTCCCCTGAAATATCGTGCGCCTGGCCAGCGGGACTCGCGGCCGCTTGGAGGAGGAGGATGAGCAATGCAGAGGTCGAACATGAACATGAGGAAGAGGAGGAGCAAAGCGAGGAGGTGGACGCAGACGGTACACTCCGAGCAGGAGGAGGAGGAGGACAAGTAGAGCCCGGCAGCCGCAGGAACAGCAGCAGGAGGAGGCACACTCTAAAGCGAGCTGAGGGACGTAGGGAGTGGAAGCGAGCGTGTGCCCGCGGCCGCGTCGGCTCAAGCGGCTGGCCGCCCAAATATGACTGTGCCTCACTGCGAGGCACACAATCGTTATCGAGACCGAAAGGATCTTCCTATTGCTTAAGATGGCACATCCTCTCCTACTGGGACTGTCGTTGCTACGGTACAACAGAGCTGGAGTTTGACTTCGCCTAAGGCGAAGCTGCTGGCTGGGCCTCCCAGCCCCCTTTCAAACTTGGTAGCGGAGTTGGCCTATGGTGGTCAGCTCTTGCTCTATTCCTCACCATCCACGGCACTGCCTGGTGGACTACAGGGTGCAGTGGGTTTGCGCGGAGGAATGTACATAGGTACGCAGTGCCGCAAGGACACTTGCACCAATACCTCTGTTCAAGAGGAGGCCTTTTACTTACATCCTACCTCCCTGCGCTTCTACACTCCTGAAGTCCACCCACCTACTCCGATTGGAAATTTATTCGAATGGATAATGCATGGAAGCATGCGATGCGAAATACTGCCGCCTCCGACCCCGCGCAGACTTACGACTATTCAACGGAAGTCCCAACCGACTACATCCGACTACGACCTACGAGGCCATTGGATTGGTGTTACTATCTTTGGGCTCACATGGGTCGCTATCGGGCGTGCGGTAGAACATTTGCGTGGCGGAGACGACACGAGAACGACCGGCGTTCATTGGGACCCAGCCGGCCAAGTACCTTTTCGCGAATTCGTCCGCGAAGTACATACCTGCATCAATGTGACCACAGGCAATATGACGCCCTCCCATCAGGCTGCAGCTCTGCAGCGAAGTTTGCGAGGTCTCGCGCGGAGCATAGCCGCGAGAGCCCCTCCAGCATTTATTTAGTTCGGCGTCAACATAGGTGGCCGCCACACTGACGGCGCCACCTACATCACGTTCGTCCTAAGCACGAAGTTCGAGAACTTAGAAGAGGAGCGCCAACTCAACTCTGGCACGGCTGTCATTGATTTCCAAGTCCACGCGGGCGAACGTATCGCCCAGACGGTAGCACGGTTTGAGACAGCCCGCTACGAGGCTGAAACAGCCGGCTTCAACATCTCCAACTTTCAAATCCTAACAGCGATTCTATTTAGAGCCCTTGGAGCGGGGGCATCGCGTGCACGACATCTCCTGCAGCCCCTAAACCACCACATGCCGAGAGACCAACAAGAATTTTACGCTCTACTTGAACGTATAGTTGCTCACATTGCTGAGAGAACCCCCCGGCAAGATTGGCGGCATCTTCAGTCACGGTCAGGCTCGAGACCTTCCACGTGGAGGCTAACGCACGGCAGCTTGCCAACAACGTCTGGAATGATGATCCACAACCAACTGCGACCACTACACTGCTGGCTCAGAATGGTGGAACGGCCTCGGGGTCGTAAGACTCCTGGGCCAAGCCTCGGGGACCGCCCGACGCGGCATCCCCCATGCGAGCCATGTCCCTAGTGGGTTCAGCGGCGTAACCCGCCGAGGCCGACTTCGACTCCGATACTGATGCAGATGCGTCTTCAGATGACGAAGCCACCGCCCTCGATTACTCTGATATGCCTACATACCAAACTGAAGAGCAACTAGCTCAATGGCTATTTTTAGGCGATCAGAAACATAAGCGTCGCCGGCGGAGATTCGCGGAGAAACCAGTCCGAAAGGCAAGGCGCATCGCACGACGATCACTTAAAGGAGAAGGCAAAGGTCGAAGTAGAGGTAAAGGTTATCGTCGGCGATTGCATGGTAGAGGCATATTAGAATTCTTAGCACCCCTCATTGGACCTCAGTATGAAGAAAAGTTCTTAGATGCTGGCAGACATCGCAGGCATACATCGGGCAAAGGTAAAGGACGACGGGGAAACCCAAAGGATGCCAACGGTAAAACTATGGAGCGCGACATATGCCACAGTGCACAGCGCTCCCGGCGCGAATGCCCTCGAGGTGATGGAAGAGGCAGGGGTCTGTCCATATATCTGGCCCAAACAGATTCCGACTTGCAGTATGTTAACTGGGGGTCGCTTTTAGCTGGCCCCGCCGATTGTTCAGCCACAAGTGACCTTCATGGCTGCCAGATATCTCAGCGCCAGTCTGGCCCTCGAGAATTACGCCGACGAGCTGTTAGAGGAGGTGTTCACTGGCCGCGGCGGCATCTATTCGGCGGAATGGCCGAGTATACCCGTCGCGGGGCAACCTGCAGATATTGAGTTTGTCGAGAACACACACGCGCCCGCTGAAGGAGACGCTGTCATGGCGGGGGCGCCCGCGGATTTAGAATTTACCATTCCTGCAGCAGGCGAAGGACTACAGGCGATGCTCTATCCTCGGGCGATTGAAAATCCGAGAGACATGGAATTGATCGATGATGACCCTCTGCGGGGAAGCCCGCGAGACGCGGGTGATCTATCTGACGCGTTCAATGTGAGTTTGGCCATAATGAAGAACGCCCATGCACTTCTGTTGCTTCACCTCGGCCCACGCGCCGCCGGGGGCGATCGACAAGCCGCCCAGTCTGGAGGGCGAAGACTTATCGCGACGACGACGAGAAGGAGGAACGGGAAGATAGCGACCGCGTCATACGTCGCGGTCGGATTTTCAGTCGCACGCCAGATCGCACGCGCGCCCTCTCCAGCGGCGCTCGCTCTAGCGGTCGTCAGCGCCCTCGCCCCCCTGGCGCGGGGCCCCCGGCGGCCCCGCCATGGCAAGCTAATAGACCTAGCGCCCCTCCAAGGAAGGGGCGCCCGCGGGGGCGCCCGTCTCTAGATGATCAGCCGCGAGAAGAAGAAGCTCCAGAAGGTGGAATACAGCGCCTTAGAGGTTGCGCGGAAGCTGGATTGGCTCGTGGGCACATGCCCCCAGATCAGATGCAATGCTTGCTGGATCAGGATTGGAATGCGCATCAGATCTGGCGCAGGCATTCTCCTCGCAAGCTCAAACGGGCCGAGGAAGGCAAGATCGCGCGCAACCTCGAGAGGGCTATTATCGAGGAGCGGAAGCTCTACAGAAACGTATGTTGCTCATGCCCCGAATTCGCTGACCATAGGCTCGGCTGCCCCATGAGACGCCCATCAAGAAGCCCGAACTTTAAAAGGACACCGCGGGTTGGGTCGCATGGCGATGGTCGGGGTCACTGCGCCGACCCCGATGCAACGCCATGCGAGGAGCAGCTGACGGAGAGCGACTACGACCACGCCGCAGCTGATGAAATCGCCCGCACAAGCCTCATATTGAATAATTTGATTTCTGCTCTCCATTTGGCGCAGTTCACTCGCGATTGGCACGCAGGGGAACCTGCTGATTACAAATCAGAAGAAGAAGACCAAGAAGAAGTTGATGAAGATGAAGGTAACGAGATGGCTGGAGAAGTTGATCCCACGGACGCGGCCCCTAAGGGCACGCGTCGGACGATTCGGGTATTGCGGGCGCCGCGTGTCAGACGAATGCTCCGATCGATCCCAGGTGCGTCGTTACTGAGAAGATGGATCTCTCCCCTGAGAGGCGGATTGCTTACTGTGCTCAAGGTGTGGGCTGGATAAAGGTATGCATAGTCGAAAGACGTAGCGCCGTTACGTACCTTCTCACAGGTAAACAGGATACCATTATTAAGAACATGGCCCTCAGGCCACCAGATGAACGCGATTCGAACCCTGGCCGAGGTCCCATGCGTCATGGGCCAGGGGCACCGGCAGGGGGCGCGGCTAAGGCAACTCCTAAGCCGAAGCCAAAGGCGATCATCGATATTCCTCCATCTTCGGACTCATCAAGTCCATCGCTTGGTCCTGATCAGGTCAGACCTAAACGAAAGAAAAGGAAAAAGCCCGGATGATCCCAACCCTGGAGACAGCAAACAGCAGCGATCTGCGGGGCAACCTGCTGACCGACAACGGTCCAGAGGACCAGCAGCGGCTGCCGCTGCAGCTGCATTTCAGGGCACCAGTACCCCTTCTCCAGAGGAACCTGTGCCACGTCGCGGCCCCGCACCAGGTCGGGTGCGCAGGCGTGACAGGATGGGTGCCCGCGCTGGAAGGACGAACAAGGGATGCCTCCTCAACGAGGCGCGGTGCTGAAAAGCTACTGGCCACCTCATCGAAGGCGCCAGGAATGGCCCCCAGAGACATAACAGTCGAGTCCTACAACATCAAGGAAAAACACTTCAGAGTTTCGACATCAGTACCCCGACTGGAACTCCTCGGACGTCCAGGGGACCTGCTGGCGCTGCCATGTCGGCGGCGAGCGCGCCGGCACCTGCCGCGCCAGTGGCAGCTCAACGTTCCGCGGGGCAACCTGCTCAGAGTTCCGCGGGGCAACCTGCTCAGAGTTCAGCAGGGCAACCTGCCCTCACTTTGGAGATGCCAGTGGAATGCCGAGAGTACTGGGACAAGTTACGCGCGTCCAAGCGCATGAAGATCAACCCAGCATATCTTCCCCAGATTCATGACGGGTCTGATCGATACATGGTGGCGCAGTGCGACCTCGTGGACACTGCCG